TTCCCTAGCCAGGAAAGGTATCCGTTTCTCTGGGAATGAACTCTGTCCGCCAATACACTGGCTGCCTATGGGATAGAAGTTGTTTCTCTCAGAACCAGTGGTGCTCAAGCTGCAAGGTGGGCACGGACTTTGAGGTGCATGGCCAATGTGAACCACACGGCCCATGTGAACACATGGCCGATGTGCCCCGAAGCTGATCCTGTGTGCAGAGCTCCAGAGGGAGGGATGCTGGGAAGAAGTTGCTGAGACGTGGCCTTTGCTTGGCTCACTGTCAGCAGGTTTTCTGTCCTGGAATAAGCTGTCTCTAGACTAGAGCAAGCAGATATGGGCTGCTTACCTGGACAGGTAGGCGGCATCCAGTGTGGCAGTGGATTAGATGTATTGATCCTGGAGCAATATGACCCCCTGCCCATTGGTTAAAGATGCTGATACCAGCTGGCGAGGCCTGGCAGTCTGTGTGTCAGCATCGTGGTCCTGCCTGGCAGTCTCATTCCTCAGCTTGGCTCTTTGTGCGTGGGCAGTGCTGGGAGCCTGTGGCAATGGGCAGCAGCCACGCTGAGAGCTACACTGGGAGGCCCAGCCATCAGCCAGGGCCTCTTTGGGGAAAGAACACTGGAATCTGCAAATATGCTAAGACCCCTCCCATTTATGCCAATAGGTGTAGACCCCATTTCGTGACTGCCCAGGCTCCAGGGGTGGGGAGGCCCAAAATATTGTGTCTATTCCCTTCTCTCAAAATAAGCTCCAAAGGCCAAAGGTCATGATATTCACCACGCACTTGCTCAATGTCCATTAGCTCCTTCTTCCGGCCTCTCTCCCTGCCTTCCAAGAAGCAAACCACAGGATATGTGTCCAAATGTACTTGTCGAGCTGAACTGAATGTACCTCTAGAGTGTGATCCCCATACTCAGGTCTAGGAAACTTGCCTGGTAAGTGGCAGTGCGGCCAAGATCTCAGCTTCGTGATTCCAGAGAGGAAGGGGCAGCAGATTAGGAGCAGATGATCTGCCCGCCCAGCTGTTGACCCGGAGCTCAAATCAAAGCAAGAGGCTGAAATGCTGGCCATGAGCAGGGATGGAACCTGAGGCAGCCACCTGGCAGGTCCCAGATCTCATGGGCCACCTGGTTCCTGACCAGGCTCCAGGGCCCCCCACGCCCATCCCTGCCCCGGCCAGCTGTCCCACGGCCCTTCTGAGAGCAGTGTGGGGGGAGGAGAACAGCACGCCAATCAGGGACAGCTCCCTCATCCCCAGCTCTGGGAGAGCCGAGCGCTGCCCGGGCCTGACTCCTGCCCCTTGTGAAATGGGGACACCTTTCAAGAACGGTGGAAGAAACATCAGCTGAATAAAAAATGATTTCAGAAGCCCAAATGAAGAGGCTTAGAGCGGTTGAAGTTGGTGGCTGCAGGCCCGAATTGTGCTTTCCCAGCCTTTCCTATTTCCCCCTTTTCTAGCCACCGGAGTGAGTATAAAAACTCACTGGAGAAATAGCTCATATAGATTCAAAGCCATTGGCCTGACTCAGGAATGCCATCTGTGATATTTTTTTTGTCCTATACATTGAGGAGGGAAAAGAGAGAAAAGAGAAAGAAATAGTCACCAGACAGGGTAGTGGGAAGTGGTTGGGAGGGGCAGGGTGATTGGATGAGGGACAGCCTGAGACAAGCAAAGGCCGTCAGAACTCAGCTGCCTCTGCAGCGTCACCTGTGCAGCTGCGAGTGAGGTAGACTAACCTGTCTCTTCTCAAACTACTGATGGTGCCGACTTCCAACGAAGAAGTAAATGATGCCAAAGCCGGTTTGGCTCAGTGGATAGAGTGTTGGTCTGCAGACTGAAAGGTCCCAGGTTCGATTCCGGTCAAGGGCATGTACATTGGTTGCGGGCACATCCCCCGATAGGGGTTGTGCAAGAGGCAGCTGATCGATGATTCTCTCTCATCGATGTTTCTCTCTATCCCTCTCTCTTCCTTTCTGTAAAAAATCAATATAAAATATATTTTTTTTAAAAAAAGAAGTAAATGATTTTCCTTGACCCCAAACTTAGAGCCTGCTGCCCATAGTCTTTGGAACTTCCCAATTCCCACAAAGGACCAGGGACCCCAGATTCCCTCAGGGCCCTGCTTCTCTTCCCTCCTCCACCTCTGGCTTCATTAGTTCCTCCTCTTTGCTTTGGCTTGTGGCCTGCTACCCCACAGCCTCTGGGCTCACTGGGAACCTGCAGGGCAGAGGGTGCTGACTGGGGATACTGGCCTCATGCTTTGGCCAGTTTCCCAGGTGGCCTCACCTTTGGGAGAAGCCCAGGTATGAGTGCTGACAGCCTGTGCCGATATGAACAGACAGCCCAGGCTCCTTGGATGCTGAACCAAGGGCAGGAGTAGATACTGGTGCCTGGAGGCAAAAGCCTCCCCTGGCCCTGAACCATCTCCCCCAAATTAGGAGGCCACCCAAACATCCTGTCCTGTTGCTGGTGACACTCAAGAGCAGTGTTTCTCTTGGGAGTCCCAGGCACTTCCTGCTGTTGTAATTTGGGGGTGAGCCTTGGAGCCAGATGAATCTGATGTGTGGTGAGCATGCCGAGTGCTGAGGTCTGGACTCCCATTCCATTAGTTGGACCTGGCTTTGGACCTTGTGGAGGACAGAACAGGTCCTTGGGTTTCTTTGGTCTGATGCAATCTTGGCCCATTTCCTGTTGGAGGAAGAATCCCATGGGGCCCACTAAGATCCTCACAGAGATTTGGGCTCAGTCCCAGCTAATAGTAATAGAGGATGATGCTGTCCTTGAACTTCCACAGTAATACCCACAGAGGAGTGAGAATGGCTCCGTCAGGGCAGGACTCTTCCCCAAACACCACCTTGTGATATGACCTCAGCATCTCCAGGACCTGACTGGGACCCAGGGATATTCATTCTTTTCACTTCACAGCAATACTCTAATATTTAAGTTTGATGGATTCATTACTAACCAACAGCATTTTCCAGCAATGTGCCTGTGGACCCCGATTCTCGTAGGACCAACAGAAAAATGGTAACTGGTCAACATGTCTGTGTGTCGTGTGACACCAAAGGAGATGGGCCTTCCTGGCCTCCTCAAGGGAAAGAGGAGCAGGATGTCCCAACCTAGGGACCTCCCATTTCTTCCATAAGCATTTCCAGGACAGAAGGCCTGGTGGCTTTTCAGATTTCCCTCTTCCATGAACAGAAGGCCTGATGCTCCCACCATGACTCCATGGTCTCCAGAGGTGGGAGTTGACATCTGGCAGCAGGAGGGGACGGATCTGGATGGCTCAGCCAGGTCACCCAACCCTCCTCTTCCTTAGAAGTTCTAGTAAGCCACTACCCGTGGCCAGTTTGTCCCGCTTTGGGTTCAAGGCAAAGGCTATGGCAAGGGCAGGCTGAATTTGTCTCAGCTCCAGGCTGTGAGGGTTTTTGTCTGCAATAAGATCAACCCCCCAAACTAAAGGATCCCTCCACCATATCCCAGGAACTCCCCGAATTCCAGATTCTGGAGAAATCAAGAAGCAAGCAAGGCTGCTTTGGGAAGTGCTCACATGTATTTATTTCACAAGGGGGGAGATGGAGTGGGCTGATCACCAACAAGATGCCACCAAATGAGACATATGAACCCTAAACTGGACAACTACTGGGTTTGGCTTTGGGCAGGGCTTGGCCTTTGGGGACAGCATGAGGGAGAGGAATGGGGACTGGCAGAAGGACAACCTTCTGTCTGGGCACCACACAGGCAAGACTGAGCCACATCCTTCTGGCCAGATGTGTGGCCACCCCCACCCCCACCCAAGCTTCTCAGCAGCCTTGTCCTGATCCAAGTGAGCGATGAAGCGCAAGCCCAAAGCCATACTACTACGTCTGCTCTACCACACACACACACCCAGACACACATGCCACGTGGCGTCACACATGCACACACGCACATGCAGCTGCACACACCCTGCCACGAGCACCACACAGGCACCCATACTCATCATATGCATGCACACAGGTCCATATATTAACTCTGATTTATAAGTGCACCCTAACCAGAGGGCAATCAAAAAAAAAATTATTACTCTTCAGAGAGGAATCGACTGCCTTCTCCCCTGTTAGCCAGTAGAGCGTGGGCTGAAATGGGATGAGCACAGAGCAGACCCCAAAGGGTCCTGGCCCCCTTTGCTGTACTGGCTCCAGACCGGAAGCTCCAGTCCCCTCGGTGTTCCCCCTGCAGCAACCTCTGAGTCAGGACTCCCTGTTCCCCGGGCAGGCGAAGTGGCACTGGTCTGGCTCCAGCCTGGGTCCTTCACAGCTTAGCCTACTCTGTGTGCTCAGCCGATTCCTGTCTCAGCTCTCCAGACACAGGCAAAAAGAGCTGGCCCAGGAACACAGGAGCCTAGGCAATGCGCAGGCGACCATGGAGGTGTCAGCTCCAGGCCATTCAGGGGTGGAATCAGAAAAATCCAGAGCTGTGACCTCCCCCAGTGCCACCTAATGGATAGGTTTGGGCTGGAGGCTGCCTTGGTTGTGAATGGACATCTGGGCAGAGGCAACCTCAGGGGAAACTGAGTCTCAGGGCCTCACTGTCTCCTCTGAGCAGGAAGAGCTAGGATGTGGCTGAGCTCTTCCCTCACTTTATTTGAGGGCTGGGGTGAAATTGGAAGCTGCTGCTGTAAGAGATGAGAAAGAGGAGAGGCCACTGCCAGTCCAGTCCTGATAGCTGGTGGGAAGGTGACGACGGAGATATGGGTGTTTCACTCCTTGGTGCCAGGTCCACATCTGGGCTGCAGAACACACAGCGCCTGGGTTCCCAGAGAAGAGTGGGGGCAGGGTGCTGAGTGCCTGAGGTGGACACGGTGTCTCCATCGACCCCCCCATCCCCAATGCTGCCCTGGAGAAGCCCGGGTGCCCATGAGCAACTGCTGGCTCCCAGCTGTTCTCTCCACCAGCATATCTGGTCCAGAGCACGGGCAGACCCTGCCCTGGGGGCCAGTCTCCGGGTCCCCAACTTCTCTCCACTACTTGATGAAATTCTTAATCGTCCACCTCTGTCCCGTGCAGCTGCGGAGGATGAGGTCAATGCCAGCCAGGCCATGGTTCTCCACTTCCAGGCAACGCCCAGTGCCCTTATTCATAATGGCTCCATTCTGGGTCAAAAGAGGCGAGGGAGGGAGAGACGAAAAGAGAGAAAGAGAGAGAGACTTAACCACCTTAGTGCCCAGCACATGGCCTCTCATGGGAACAATCCTTGTACAGGGAAGAGATCACTGGGGCCTCCTCTGGAAATCGTCAAGTCAGACAATAAATAAGCTTCAGCAAGTCTGAGTGGCTGAAGCAGGTGAAGAGGATAAATGGGAAATGGTGTCAGAAGGAGGAATTTCCAGGGATATTCCAGGTCTGATTTTCTTAACCTTACTGGCTATAGGTACTTAGCTGATTGCAGGAAAATGACCCCCACAACCTCTTCCCAAGATGTAGCAGAGCCAACCAAGCCTATCACTGCCGCAGGGATCCGGAAGGCTGTCTTTGATTGATTCCCCCCAAATGTACTCTGGGTCCAGGCACCTGGCCCAGGGCTGGGAGACCTGGATACCCTTGGGGAAGCCGAATTGCCCTCAGCTGCTCTGGGGTGCCAGCCCTGTCCATGGAGCACTCACCTGGATGAAGTTCCACCTCTTGTACAGGCTGCTCTTGACCTTGTCGCAGTCAAGCAGCTGGGGCAACCGACTCTTGGAGTTGTCTACCAAGCAGCGGGTGTCAGGGAGGAGCGTGGTGGTCCCCAGGGCTCCCAAGTGCAGAAAGCCTTCCTTGGTGTAGCGGGCCAGCTGGGAAGAGAGAGCAGAGTGGCAGGGGAGGAGGGTCAGGAGGGTAGGGGTGAGACCATGAAGGAAAACAGGGTTGAGATCTACAGGTTTCACCCAAGCCTCTGTTCACGATGCAGCTGTGGCCACTGTGTCAGGCCTGTCACACACCCACATTCTCAACTCACAGGGGAGCCCTGGCCAGGAAGCCCTCCGGTTTGCTAAGCCAGGATACTAATTCCCCTCATCCACTCTCTGATATTTTCCTAAGCATGTCCTCATCAATGTTCCAGGAGTCCAGCCTTCTGTCCAGCAATACAGAGAGCAGAGATAAGTAAGTGAAGGAGCAAGATAGCTGATTTCTAAAGCTTGGTTCTGCTTCCAACTGGCTGGGCTGCCTTGAATAATTCACTTAACCTCTCTGAGCCTCCATTTCCTCCTCCTTTGTAATTGGGGATTAATGAAATCTACCCTGCTGCAAAGGACCCAAAGATGCTGTGCATGCAAGAAGAAACAGACATTATTTAAAAGCATTCAACCTCATAGGCTCTTAAATAAATAAAGTAGCAATGAGATATCACATTTTAAATAAGAACTTATTCCCATTTTGTCAAGGGTAGCATAAGATGGGCTGGCAGGAGGGTAAATTACTACAACCTTGCAAAGAGGTGATTTCAAAATACACACTTTGTGCTTTTAAAATGTTCTCCTTTGACTCAATAAATCTACTTCTAGAAATGTATCCCAGGGAAATAATCAGAACTCTGAACAAAAGTTTATGTATAGGGTGTTTACTGCAACATTATTTATAACGTTCTAAATGTGCAACAGCACGGTCCTGAAATTGCTTTCTGTTCCATGTACTGCAAGGAGTGCTGGGCGATTGTGGGAAATTTCAAAAATGGCCACATCCTTCACTCTTCCTTCTGTACAACCTTAGTAATGTGACTCTGCAGCAGTTTCCAACACATTGATGATTTGCTTTGGCCAACAGAATGAAGAAGATGTGAGGATGTGCCTGTTCTTGAATTAGACCTTGCATACTTCCACCCTCCTGAAACCTTGCTGCTCCCACTGTAGTAAGTGTAGGATGGACTGCCAAAGAATGAGCGACAACCACCAGCCCAGGGGATGAGGTCATTAGAGGTCAGGTAGTCCTCAGCCAACCTGATAGCTGATAGGAGACTTGTGAATGAATCCTGTCAAGATCAACTGAGCATGGTCCAGATCACAGAATCATCCATCTGGCCTATGCACTCATGAGAAATAATAAATGCAGACTGCTTCATGCCACTAAGTGTGGGATAGTTGTTATGCAGCAATAACTGATATAGAGATGGTGTTGCCTGACAACCATTCCCCCAGCAGGGTTCTACTCTCCTGCCTGTCCACATTGTTTAAAACTGTATTCCAACTTTTGAAGAAACGGATCCACTTGCCATTCATACTCTTTCAGGAGCAGGGACTGTGTCTAATTCATTTTATTCATTGTTAGGAGGGCAATCACAAACCAAGCACTCAAAAATGTGTATGAGCACATTGTAAATCTAGTAAATATCCTCATTTTAAAAAATGAATGAAGCCCCATCTACATTTAAATTCTACAAGCATGTTTTGAAGAGAACTTTGTGTGCCCAGAGACAGCCTTCTGGGTATATAAGAATAGGCTGTGTTCCCACTGAGATGGTTCTAGTGTAGGCTGGTGAGGGCAATGAGAGAGACTAGATGATCCTCCTGTTTGTTCTTACAGTCCTCTTAGGTTACTAGAGTAGGAGTGATGACTATTGATATACAGGTTCCTAAAAAAGTAAAAATGTAAAATGACCAGCTTGCAGGTAGCAAAGGCATATTCTGCATCATTTCTAAGATTGTACATGGGGGGTAAATAATGGAATTGTCAAACCAAGATGGTGACATAAGGTTTAAACCTGTACGTGTTGCCTCTCACAACCATACCAAAACTACAACTAAAAGACAAAACGTCTATCACCCAGAACCATGGGAAAGCTGGCTGAGTTTCCTACAACTAGAAGGAAAGAGAAAAGAGCATTGAGACCAGGTAGGACGTGCACAGGTGCAGAAAAGCAGAGGGACTGTCTGCAATTGGGTCAGAAAGTGAGGGTGGCTTTCTTGCAGAGGTGTGTGTAGGAATCATTGTTTACTGTACTGGGGTGTACTGGCAGCCATTACTGTTTGCCACACGCAATTTACAAACCCACCCAAATTATGTGCAGCAGCTTTTGCATATGAATGGCCTGCCCTATTGCAGCTTAACCTAACAAACTGCAGCTGGGTCAGCTCCAAAACTTCCAAACCTTAAGCAAAGAGGAGAAAATTGCAGATCTTGGTTTCCTCAGACAGTAGCTGACAGAGGATCATGCTAGTCTCTCTCATTGACCTGCACATTCTTGGAGATTCAGGGGCCAGTGTACCTAGTGGTCAGTGTGAGACAACACCAGATTTCAACTCCTTACATCCATAAGTGACACACTCAAGAGGCAGACTCAGTGAGCGCCAAAGTCCCGCTGAAGCAAGTCTGGCCCCATAAGGGTGTCTCCAGCACAGCAGTTCTTCCATTACAAACACAGTGGGTCCTCACAGCCAATTGGCCTGGAGGTCAATTCCTCCCAGGGTACCAACAGCAATCAAGACTTAACTACAAGACTGTGCACTCAGTCCACAAATGGATGTTCCAAGAGAGTCCACCTCAAGTGATTGGGGAGGCTGAGCCACTGCCCCTTATAGGTCATCTACCACACAAAGCCACTCTATCAATACAGGGAAGCAGCCAAAATGTAGAGACAAAGAAACATGTCATGAATGACAGAAATGGAGAAAAGCAAACTACTGGATATAGAGTTCAAAACCATAGTTATAAGGTTACTCAAGAATCTTCTAGAAACCTCCAAGGAACTTAGTGAGACCTTTAAGAATCTTAATGAGAATGAAAAAAAAAGGGGGGGGGGCCAGTCAGAAATTAAGCATACACTGTCTGAAATAAAGAATAATATACAGAAATTCAACAGTAAACCAAAGGACTCCAAGAATCAAACCAAAGATTTGAAATATGAAGAAGCAAAAAACAAAAAGAATCCAAAAATATGAAGATAGTGTAAGGAGCCTCTGGGACAACTTCAAGCATAACAGTATCCGAATTACGGGGATGCCAGAAGAAGAGAGAGAGCAAAATATTGAAAACTTATTAGAAGAAATAATGACAGAAAACTTCCCCTAAGTGGTGAAAGAAATAGACTTACAAGTTCAGGAAGCACCGAGAATACCAAACAAGAGGAATCCAAAGAGGACCACACCAAGACACATAATAATTAAAATGCCAAAAGACAAAGAGAGAATATTTAAAGAAGCAAAACAAAATGTTAGTTACCTATAAGGGAGTACCCATTCAACTGTCAGCTGATCTCTCAACATAAACTATGCAGGCCAGAAGGGAGTGGCAAGAAATATTCAAAGTGATGAACAGCAAGAACCTACAACCAAGATTACTCTACCCAGCAAAACTATCATTTAGAATGGAAGGTCAGATAAAGAGCTTCACAGACAAGAAAAAGCTAAAGGAGTTCATCACCATCAAACCAGGATTACATGAAATGCTGAATGGTATTCTTTAAGAAGAGGAGGAAGAAGAAAAAGGTAAAGGTAAAAATTATGAACAAAATGAGAACAAATATATATCTATCAACAAGTGAATCTAAAAATCAAGTGAATAAAATGGTGAATAGAATAGAATCAGGGGCACAGAAAGGGAGTGGACTGACAATTCTCAGGGGGAAGGTGGTGTAATGGGTATGGGAAGAGACTGAACAGAAATCATACACCTATGGATGAGGACAGTGGCGAGGGTAAAGGCATGGGGTGGGGGCAGGGGGGAAAAGAGGAACATCTATAATAATGCAAACAATAAAGATTTATTTTTAAAAAATAATGGAATTTTCACAAAACCCTATGAAATAGGCGCTACTACTCACCCATTTTAAAGATGGGGAAACCAAGGAATGAAGACATCTGGTCACCTGATGGCCCTGGCCTCCTTTGGGTCCCTAGAGATCCTATGGGTGGTGGCTCTGTCCCAGCAGCTGAGCAGCAGAGGGGCCTCTCCTAAAGGACCCTTTCCTCCTCCGAAGAGTCTGGGCATTTCTGGCCAGGCATGGAGCAAGAAAGCAGCTCTGCCCAGAGACCTTGTTGTGGGGTCGATAACCCCCCCACCCCCCACCCCAGGTGTTGTATAAACGTTAAATGTTACTGTACTAGTGGAATTTTACTATAACTTATAACTGACCTTTCTTTGTTAAAACTTTAGCCAATCACAATCTGCCAGGCATCCCTAAGACAGGGATAAAAGTAGCATGCTTAGAGTGGGTCAGGGCTCTCGTTGCTCGCTGCTGTGTCAGCTGAGACATGAGCCCGGACTTGAGTTCATAATAAAGGCTTCCTGTATTCCAATTTGGCTGACTGGTGGTCATCATTCACAGGTCGCCCACAACAACCTGAGTACCTCTTTTCAGAGGATAACATTCTCCTCGGGCAGTCCTAAGCTCCTGATAGAAGCTGCTCAGAAACCCTCTGCTCTGATCCCCAATGGGAAGCCTTCCTGGTCCCCCAGAAACAAGTGGCAGAGTTTATTGAGTGCCCTTGAGAGAGATGCAGTTAACATATGCTTTAAACTCAAATTAATTCCAAATCAGAGTAATTGTTAGAGGCAAAATGATAAGAAAATCAGAACTCTCCCTACCCCTCCTTAAACAATGTCTCTGAATATATTTAAATTCACCAAATGCAAAGTGATGAATGACAACAAGCTGCCTTTATGTTCAGGGGAAAGATATACACAGCTGCTTATTGAAATTATGAATCAATCTATTATCCAGTAGGCAAATGAGTAACGCTAAGAACATTAATTAACTAAACATATCTGTGACTCAGATGTTTAAAGAGTGACACTAAATGCTCCTGGGAGTAAGGGCATGAAACAAGGAGACCCAGGCTGCTAAGACCTGCAAAGGTCA